GAGACTTGAAGGACTGCTAGTCTCTCAACTTTCTCTCACAGACATGAGTTGCACTAAGCCATTTATAGTGCTTTCTAATTTAACTCTTTATTTCTTGTATTGTATATTTATCTGTATATGATTTAACAGTTCATTTCTTGTTATATATCTAATTATCCTTATAAATAAATATATTATATTATCAGGAATTTGGTTTTATCTCTCTAGAGAACCCTGTCTAACACAGGGGGAAAAAGAGAGTTATCACTCACAGAACTTGCCGGCAGTCAGCCACTGATTACAAGCACATGTTTATATACATTCTGTTCAGAATAAGCTGGTGCATGCATGAACTGGACTCCTGCTAGCTATATATTTTTACTTACCTTTGTATATGACATGCCTGCCACCTTCCCCTCATTACATTTCCTAAAAGTTCAGAGGACACTCCCTTCCTAAGACACAGAGAGAGCTTTTCGATAGAGAGACACCAGTTTAATTGAAAGTCTTTATGGTCATTGTCCTCTGTAGGCTATAAAAGATGATTCTACTGGTCCCAGGGACAATCTTTTGAGAAGCAACACTATGCTCATGTATAAGAAAGCATTTATTTATGTAAACTCATCCTCTGTTTGCCATAATCTACTGGGCAGAGATGTTGGTCATGTTGGCATCCAAATATAGCATCACACTGACTCAGTTCTTTTATGGTATCATGATAATCTGACCTAATGAGTAGAAATAAGGAAATACTTTAGATATCTTAATTAGACACATGTGTTAGACCAGGGACTGCGAGCTAGAATCCACTGGCCAAATATGGCCCTCTACCTATTTTTGCAAATAAAGTTTTACTGAAATAAAACCATGCTTATTTCTTTATGATTATCTATGACTACTGTCAGGGCTGAGCAGCAGAGAGCATATGTCCCACAAAGCCTAAATTACGTACTCTCTAGCCATGGTGGCACAGTGGTTAAAAGTTGGGCTGCTAACTGCAAGGTTGGGAGTTCAAAATCACCAGCTGCTCTGCTTAAAAAGTTTAAGTCGTGGAAACCCACAGGAGCAGTTCTACTTATAGGGTCCTACAGGGTCACTATGAGCCAACGTCATAGTGGATGACAGTGAGTTAGTTGAGTGTGAGTCATGTACAGAAAATCTTGCAGCCCTCTGCCCTCGAGGAAACAGTGTGAGAGCCATTGGAATTGAGGATGGAGAGCAAAGCTAGAGAGAGTCACATCACATAATTCGGATGCCAAGCCAAGTAGCTGAGGGCCAGAGAGTCTGGTCTTCCAGCACGGCAGAGAAGAAACTACCCTGACTGGACAACTATATCCAGAGCATTTCTCATATAAATTGTAACCTGTTGACTTCCCAAATAAACTCTGTAATTGTGAGCATCCTCTATGAGTGCCATGTGACCATTGCAATGATTTATTGGACATAGGCTCAGAAGCAGAGTGTCATGGAAGAATCGTTAGAGTGAGAAAAGGGTTAAGAAAGACGGAAGGTGGAAGGATGTCTGACCTCTGCCTTGTGGCAATCAGGCTTGGGATTGGAGGAGGTCAAATGTGGCCTCCACATCCTTGCTGCAGTAATGCACTTCTGGATTGTTCTATCTTCCCCAACCTTGTAAAAAAATATTAGTCAGAATGATTCTTCTCTGGTGGGGCAATCTATCCTCCAGGCACTGGGGAAGAGACATTGGAGGGATAGAATTTTCTCTCAAATAATAAACCTCTGTGTGATAGCACCAAACCCTGTAATAGTTTTAATAACTTAGTTCAAGCATACTAGTTGTTTTTCCCTTTTTAAGAGAAGAAATTCCTGTTAGCATTCATATGAGTCATACACCATAAACATTCAGTGCTCCAACCCCCACGGGTGTGCACGCCAAACCACACGGCAGGCCTTCACTGAAAAAAGAAGAGGAAGAAGAATTGCATTGTATGATGCTACAAAACATATGTTGAGTTTCCTAGTATTAAGTAATATTGTAGTATTTTTTAAAATACATATTATAAAGTAAACCATTCATGAATTCCAAGTTGATGCCAGTTATGTTAAAATCTTGATACATCATTTAATTCTCATGCATAATCCTTTTTCATCATTCTAACCCAACGAGCAGAAAGGAAAAAGTAAAAAGATTGACGGAAAATGTATTCAAAACACATATCCATAAAAATTTACATGCATTTGCATGAACACTTGCTTAAAGAATCTGTCCTCATTAGAAGCATTAGTATTTGCAGTAAATCAAAGTTATCTTCAGAACATATGTTTCATGAAAAGACTAATACGTTATTTTAACACTCATATAAATGCAAAACTGGAAAATAAAGTTTTGTATCTAAATTCTCAGGCAGCATGATCATTTCTAAGTCAACGGATTTTTAATTCAATTATAAGTAACAGGTTACAGACCATGCATTCTAAAAAAACAAAATGCAATACCAGGAAATTTGAAAGAAATAGCAGAAGGTATTTATAATGATCATCTTCAGGTAATCTATGAAAAAAATAGAGAAATTCTTTCCTTCTCTGAAAATATTTTTAAAATTATTTCAGTTGAACCCACTACAGCAGGGAAAATTAATAATATTAAGTATGCCCAGTTTATGAATGGCAGTGCGACACATATGCCAATGATTGCTAAATCACACCACCTCAGTGGTAGGTAAAGCACATGCTTGTAAACTTTGAGAAGTCGTTTTTGTGTTGCTCAGAACTCCCGTGTGGTTCGGTTTACAACAGTAAACAAACACTCTAAGAGAACTTTCCTGAATTTATACTATGGTGAAACACAAGCATATGTATGTTTCTATTACTCTACAAAGTGAGACTGCATAAAGAAATGTGCTAAATAAATTACTGAAGCACCAATTGGGACACTCATTAGAAAGCTCTAGTCCTGAGTTTGGAGCGCACTAAGGAAAGCTCTGTGATCACACTGCCCCACTCTGGCCAAAGAGAGAAAATGAAGTTACCCTCGAAAATGGTCATAGCAACACACAAATTCATGCAAAATTCATTTCATTAAAAGATTGTTTCCCAAAGGGCAAGGCATGCCAACTAAATGTGTCTTTCACCCTCTGCTTTAAAATGCTAAGGGTAACTTGTTATGATTCATGCTTATTTTCACAGAAACGTCTCTTATTATTCTTGCAAAAATAAAACGACATGTAATCTACTTGCTATATACAAATGTGAATTGTACATTCTGGTTTATTAAATCATCAGTGTTAATGAATATGGGGAAAGTTAACATGTGATATTAATGATACATTGTTTAGGTTGTTGACTCCTGTCCAGATGGCCCCAATCTAATATTGGCAAAACAGAATCCAACTTTTTTGTGATCTACAGGGTGTTTGTTGACTGACTTTCACTGAGAATTAGCTCACTAGGCCTTTCTTCCTAGTCTATCTTAGTCTGGGAGCTCTGCTGAAACCAATTCAGTGTCACAGCAATAGGCAAACCTCCAGTGAGAGGTGGTGGTTGAGCGAGGAACATTGGCTGGAAATAAAACCCAGGTCCCCTGCCTGGAAAGGAAGAATTTGATCCTGGAACCACCACTGCCCCCACGGACAGAGACCTCGCTGCAATACTTGTCATTATTTTGTCTAAAACCAGACTATTAAAGCAATCAAAATGTAAATGTCAGAAAAGCTATAGACATGTTGAAAAGCAAGTCAAAAATACTCTTCGCCTCCGTAAGGATTCACTTCAAAACCATCTGCCTGGACACAGTAATCTCTATTCTTAATAGTACAAAGGGTAGTGGTATAAATGACCATTTATTGAACACTTCGTTTTCCAGCCCCTGGGCGAAGGTTTTCATATTATTCATTTCAACCATATAGCAGAACTGAAAAGTAAGCATGGCCGACACCCCCGTTTCACAGATGAGCCAACAGGCACAGAGAGGTTCAGCGGCTTGTTTAGGGTTACACAGAGAGCAAGTGGTGGCACCATGAGTCAGTCTGATGCCAGCATCCAAGCTCTTGCACTGGGCGACTTACACAGGAAACCAAGACCAGGTGTCTTTTTTGAATCAGAGCATCTAAATAGTCTACTCTGGAAAAAAACGTAATGATTAATCTTTACTCCTGTTCATTATCAAGATCAGATGAAGAAATTGCATGACAATTAGGTCTAACTCTGCTATAAATCATAATAAAGGCCAGTGCAATCAAGTGATAAAAGAGCACACATTATCTTGGCCTCTGCAGATGTTTTACATGCACATGAATGAAAGAGGTACAAGAAATTTGAGCTAACCTGCAGCTACTCTCAGTTTCTTGAGTCATAACTGGTTCAAATGATATCATTTGTAATCTTGGAGTGCGTTTCTTGTTTGTTTTTGTTGGTGTGGTGGTGGTTTGGGTTTGGGTTTTGAACATGAACAACATCGTATCCATATTTGTTAATTACCTGAATCTCTATCCGTAGCTTCCACCCTCATGACCAACTCTCCTGGATTTTTATTTTCTTTAACTGAAGCGTTATACAGGGGCTGTGTAAATACTGGTGTTTCATCATTTACATCAAGAACAGTAATCGTCAAGGTCTGGGAGGACGAAAGTGCGGGCACTCCATCATCCTGTGCCCCAATGGTGAGAAGATACTGCGTTTTGATTTCATGATCCAAAGGGCGAGCTGAAGTGAGTAGACCTGTTTTATATGAGAAGAGAGAGAGGACAGAGTAAATAGTGTTTAGTGAAATCGTGCACACTCTAGGTTTTACATATCCAACCTGATAAAAATGAAGTAGCTTTAAGTATCAACGAATAAACCTGTTTAAGACAACTTTACATTGATATGTTTTCTGAAAGAAAAAATATATAATTCAGAGAAGTCATTCCAATTTAAATTTTAGTGATAAGGGATAAATCAAGAAGAATCTGCACATCTGCTTAGAAGGATTTACTTCATGTGGCTCTTCTAGCCAGCGTCTTTAGAATCTTCCCAAAGAACTGGGTGGGGACATGCAGATTGGATGTATACTCCCTTTCTCTGGTGAGTCTGGGTAAGAAAACATGGGGGAAGATGCTGATATGGATTGGCATATAAGTGATTGTTAACAAGGTTCACTGTGATTATGAAAAAAAACTTGGAGATCTAATATGGGGATGGGTCAATTTTGCCAGCCTGTCGGGTAGAATGTGAGCAGTCTAAGGAGCAAGAACAGGGGTATAGTGCTACCATTAAGGAAGAAGAGCCAGGAGCAGAGGGTGTCTTTTGGTCCCAAAGGTCCCTCTAAGCTGAACCTCTTCAATCCCAGGGACACAGAGCTGTGACACTGGCAGAGGAGTGGCAGCAGCAGAACTAAGAGCAAGAGAAGGAAACAAAGTGGCAGGCGTCCTGCCCCACAAAGGGAGTAAAGACAAGTGCCTTTGAAAAAGAGTGTGGTTTGCCGAGTGGGGTGCCTCTGTGGGGCACTTAATTGGGGGAATTAGGTTTGGGTGAATGCCTTTAGGTGAGGCTTCTGGTGGAGTGGCATGCCCTTTAGGCATTCATCAGCAGCTATGCAAACGCTTTGTACAATTGCTCCTGCAGGGCAGAGGCAAAGGAGCCTCATGGCTGAGGGGTGCAGGGCCAGAGAGCAGCGTGCTTGCAGGTGTGGCTGGGAAGAGGAGCTTATATCCTGAGCATTTTTACTCCTTCATGGCAGCCTGTTATTTTCTCTAAGAAACACCATAATTGTGGCCATTGCAATGCATTCTCAAGGCCAGCAGTAGAAAATATTGAGAATGACGGTTGGTTTCTGAATTGATAACAAAATGGTTGTAAGATATGATAAAATAATAATAATTTATAAGTTATCGGGGGAGCAGGGAGTGGGGGGGGGAGCTGATACCAAGGGCTCAAGTAGAAAGCAGGTGTTTTGAGAATGACGATGGCAACATATGTACAAATATGCTTGGCACAATTGATGCATGCATGGATTGTGATAAGGGTTGTACGAGCCCCTGATAAAATGCTAAAAATAAACATGGTTGGCGGATGGAGGGATGTCTGACCTGTACCTCCCAGGAAGTGGTCTTGGACTGTGAGGGAAGAAGAAGTCAGGAACCTCCTCCAGGACATTTTTATAATTCCATTATATACTGAGACCACTATATCACAATTATATAGCTATCAATCCACACCCATCTTCCTTTGAAAATATCTAGGATACTAACTTGGTGGCAGAGTGGTTAGGAGTTCGACTGCAATCTGCAAGCGGAGTGGCTCGAAAGGACCAGCCACTCC